CTGAGCCGCACGCTGCTCCTTCCCGGGGCTTCCCGCCCGCCTGGAGGTGTAGGTTGCTCGCTCCTCCACGCTCGGCGCCTAGCCCGCCACGAGAGGACTGGAGCCGAAACTCTGCCCCCCTCCTGACTCTCCCGCTGTTTTCCTCGTGTCCGGCGAGCCTCAGTCCCCCGTGGCCTGCAGCCGCGCCACTCACCCGCACCCGGGGCAGCCCCCGCTCCCCTGCTGAGACGGTGGCGCCCGCCTTCCGCGCCTGCCTCTAGCCCCGGCGGGGCGCGCCTCTCCTCTAGCTGCTAGCGCCGCTCCTCCGCCTCCTCCCCTCTCGCGGGGGCCGGGCCACGCCGGGGCGCTTGCTCCTTTCGTGGGGGGCTCAGCAGCGCGGGAGCCGCCGCCCACCTGGATACCTGGCTTTGTAGCCTGGGGCGGGGGGGTCTCTCTGGAAATGGCTGCCCTGGAAGCGGGCTGAACCATCAAGGCAGAAAAGGACGGGGCGGGGGAGACCGCCCCTGACCCGCACACCTCCGTGGGCCTCGAGGTGGGGGAGCGGCTCCTCCTCCACGCTCCCCTGGGGCTACAGCGGCGGCTGCGGGGGCTGCTCGCTGTGGGCCACAGGCACCAATCCAAAAGTCAGTCATTTCTCCCCGCCCTCGGCCCAGCGGAGTCGCTGCCCTGGGCCCCTTAGGAACTGGTGGGACCTCGGGGCCGTCGGGGAAGACCGCGGGTTGCCCCCAGCCGTCCGGGTGGAAGGAAATGGTGCCCCATGAGAGCAGAACTGGACCCTAAGCGAACCAGGGTGGCTGCGAAAGGCAAGGCGGGCTGGGAGTAATTCGGAGGAGGGAGGAGCTGCGCTGTGCGCGGGATGGGGGGCGCTCAGTCTGGCTGGGAACTGCCACTCGAAGTGTCGCAAACCACGCACTCACAATTGTTCCTCCCGAACAGGCTCACTCGGAGTGGGGGTGGGAGGAGAGGGTGCCCGCCAATCTCAGACGTCTCCAACCCCTACAACGTGCCCGCCTGCCAGCTCTCGGCGGCTGAGAAGCAGGCGGAGCGGGCGCCTTCGGATCCCGGAGTGCTGCAGCCACGGTAGCAACTCCCGGGCGCCGCCTCCTCGCCGCTTCAGGACAGGCGCCATCCGGGAAAGAGCAATGATCAAGGGACACACGCAAGGCTCCCCCAGTTCCCAGCTCCCTCTGAAGCATCACACCACCCCTAGACCACAAGGCTCTGACCTTGTCCGCTACCTGATCCCTTTGAATAGAGAGAAGAGAGCTCAACTCGATTTGGGGGGGGGGGGGCCTATGGCAATGGCTGCCCTGGAAACCACCGCATCCAGTCTCCCTCTGGTGGGCCGCCCTGGTGGTGGCCTTGGAGAACAGGGCGGGCAGGCCTCCGGTGAGGGGAGTCGGGGCGCTCAGAGCTGAAGGGATGTGGGAGGGTGTGTAGGGTTGGAATGGATTTTTGTAAAGGAAGAAGTGAATCAGGTACCAACTACAGAATTTACTGAGATTTTTTTAGTGAGCCAGATTTCCAACTGTTTCCAGCTGTGGGAAATACAGAAACAGAAGTTCAGTTCTGGATAGAAAAGACCTCCCCTCTCAAGGGGGAAGACAGGACCAAGACATAAAAAGTGGAGATTATCACTTGAGGGCGGAACACATCTGTTAAAGACAAAGGAAAAGGTGGAGTTGTTGGGAAGGGAGGGCTCTGAAATCTTCTAAGGATAGCGCTTCCAAGGTGGTCATCAAGGAAGTGTGGGATGGGATCTGGCTGCTAAGAAACAAGGAAGAAAGCATTCCAGACGGGCGTACTGAAGCAAGGGCATGGAGGGAGGAGGGACAGTGTTGGAGGCTGTTTGGAAGGGTCCCTCCCTATGAAAGACAGGAAATTAAGGGAAGAACAACAGTGTCCTTAGCCTGGGCACAGCAGTGACAAAAAGCTTTGCAGCAGGAGTTGCCTGGGGAAAGGTATGGGGCAGGCAGAGGATTTGCCTCTAGGAAGAAGACGGTGGTTGGGTGGCAAAGTGGGCACATGGCCCCGCACCCTGAACTTCTTGCTTCTCTCTAGCTCCCAGGCCCCAGGGATGCCCACTTGACATGGGGGCCAGCCCTGGAGCAGGTGTTCCCAGATCACTCTGTCCTGAGGGAACATGTGATGTATGCCCGCACACACTGTGAAGCCCCTCTTTTTCCTTTGCATTTTTTCATCCCTCTGCTCAGGGCTCTGCCAGCTTCCTCTCATGGTGTCACAGAAAGGGCACAGTGTTCAACATCAGAATTAAGTCCCAGCCTGAAGGCATTTACCAGCAGAGTGGCTCCAGGCCTGCATATCCCCACCTTCAAAATGAAGTGGATGATACCACCCTGCCTGCTTCGAGCAAGATCTTGCTAGAGTGTCAGGAAGAGAGCTGCACAATTACTCAGCAAGCAGAAAGCTCAGTGCCTCCCTCAGACCTGGGGCCCCTCCTGGCTGTCGCCCAGGGCGCGTACAGACTCTCCAGCCCCCATAAGGATGGGGAATGCTCTCTCTCTTTACTCAGACAGCAGAAGAAACGCTTTTCTTCCCTTTGTGACTCAACTTCCCCTTTCTCCCCCCTGAGGGAAATTGCTTTCTTCCCTTCTTTCTCTGTTTTCAGGGTCAGGGGAGAGGGCACCTCTGGAATGTGCGTGTGGCAGACCACCCTACACCCAGGCAGTGTTGCCCCCCAGGTGAAGGAGAGAAGCAGCAGGAACACGGACTGGGTCCTAAAGAGTCAGGCCCCTCTCCCCTGAGCCTCCCTGAGACAACTCTGTCTCATTTATGTCCCTGTGGAGTGTGGAGGAGGGGACAGTTCCGTGGAAGAAGAGGGACTGAGGCAGGTCCCCTTCAGGGCCTCATCCTGGCCTGTCGGAGAGCCCCATGCTGGCTGCCCTTTGGCTTCATTTCCCCCAGCTGGCCTTGCCAAGCAGGCCTGACCTGTGTGTGTGTGTGGCCGTAGGGGGGGCAGGGGGGGTGCCAGGTCTCTGGCCCTGGAGCCTTTACTCTGACTTCCCTCCTGTGGGCTCAATATGTTCTGAACAGAAAAGAAATAGCAAAGCGGAAAAAAGGGCTGAGACTTCGCTGCAGAGCACAGAGGCACCAAGAGCCCGAATTAGAAGCTGTCGCTTAGGGAGCTGAAGGCTGACAGGAGATAGAGCCGAGGCAGGCAGGGGGCAGGCAGGCGCTCCACACTCCCCTCCCCTCCCACCCGCTGATCCTCTCCCCCTGCAGGCCCCAGGCTGGCAAAAGGACTTCCTAGCAGAGGCGGCTCAGGTCTGCAGTCTGTCACTGTCTGCCGCTAGCCCCCCTCCCCCACCAGGCCTGCTTCTTTCCTCAAGTGTCACCAACCCCCTCACCCTGTCACGTTGCACCAGCTCAGCAGGGTTGGGCCTGGTGGCACGAGGCTGGAAGATCTAGAGAGCTTGAAGGTTGTGGGGGTGCAGGGGGCTGGTGAGTCAACAGGGGACTCTGGCAACTGAATCAGCATTGGGATTGGGAAGTGGGTAGGGACCCTTCAAAGGGTGAACTGAGGCATGACAAGTGGGCAGGGAACCTTGCCCCAGCCCCATAGATACACATCAGGAATGGAACCCAGGTGCCCTTCACCTGCCCAGTGCCCGAGGGAGGGCAACTCTTCCTCTGCACATCCCCTGATGCCAGAAATTAATTCATCTCCGAGGCCCAGAGCCTGGCATTTCCCCGGGGGCACCTGGCCCTTTTCTAAGAGAACAGAGGCAGGGAGGCAGTACTGGGCCGGGAAGCCTCCAGCGTGGTGTGCAGAGTCCCCTCAGGAGGCAGGATTGTGTTTCCTTCCCCATTCCTGGGCTTCCCAGCTCCACACCAGGAGCCCAGAGACTCTGCCAGGCCTGGCTCAGAGGCAGGGGAAACAGCCCTCCTCCCCCTGCGCAGTCATTGGCGCAACAAGGGGGATGATGCCCCGTGGGCTCTATTTGGTGCTGGCTCTGGCCTCTGCCCCATGCCTAGGTCAGTGAGTTCCTCTCGGCCTGCGTGCTACCCTGGGCTGGAGGGCAGCTGGGCAGCTGAGTGCCCAACTGGAGGACTGAAGACAAGGCACTGCCCTTGGCTGTATCAATGAGCAGGCCCTTAGCCTCACCCTGCGGCCAGGGACTGCTGGGATCCCAGAGGGATGGGGTGGGGGGGGTGGGGGGGAGTCCTGTTCATTTTCCAAAGGCACAGGTGCTCACAGCTAATGGCATTTGCTATAACCCTCTGATAAGAAAACAACCTCTTCCCAGAATCAACCCCACCCTGCCTCTCCCAAACCAGTGTCTCCTCCCATTTGGATTTGGGACGGTGCCATAGGTGCCACGAGTGGCTGCCCACAAGCCCCTCCGCAGCAAGTGCTGGGTGAACCCTCACTACCCCAGGGGCCTGAGAAGCTGACCCCTGTAAGGTGGCCTGAAGGTTTGCAACTTCCAAGAGGGTGGGGGGCACCTTTGCATAGGCTCTTCTGCTCCAGCCCTGAGGGTGGAGACAAGGAAGGGCCACATCTGGGTGAGGGTGGAGAAGAGGGGTGACATCGTTTTCCAGTGGCTGTGGCAGCAGGGTCGACAGAAAGGGAAGTGAATCCTCTTCAAGCCTAGAGGCAGGGCCATTCTGCTGGGCTCTGGAGGACACCTTTCCCCGGGGTTCCACTCCCAAGGGTTTTCCTAGCCTGCTTCATTTCAGGGCTTTCTCCTCCCCTCCTCCCCATTTCTCAGCTGTAGAACAGAGGCCAGGCTTAGGCAGGAAATATTGGGACAGAGTTCTTTCGTAGGAATAAAAAAAATGAGAAAAATAAATAAACCTCATAAAGTTAGAAAACAAATGTGACCTTGTCAGGAAGCCTGGGTTGGAGTACATGTTAGGAAATAGACCCCCCAAGCCTAGGGGAAGGGGTGAGCCGGGCTCTGGATGGGAACTGCTCAAAAGGCCATCCTTTTCCTCTCACCACCAGCCACAGCCCCAGTTGCCTCTGGGGCGGAGAGCCAGACAGCTGAGGCAGCTTTTTCATGTCAGCGTCCCCCCACCCCACCCCTCAGGCAGGAAGCCAGGGAAGGAACCTCAGCCTGGAATCCTAGGGGTAGCAGGCCCCAGGGAGCTTGGAGGTAGTGCCAGGCTCTGAATCAGGGAGCAGACAATGAGGCCAATTCAGGGCCGGCCCGCCCGCAATGGGGCCGAGAAGCCTGGGTGAGCTGCCAGCCTTACGGCAGAACAGGTCCTGCTTGAATTACAGGTGCTGAGTGGAGGTTCCAGGAGGCCAGGCCTAACCCTCCAGGTGAGGAAACTGACTCCAGAGTGGGCGCCACTAGCTGCACCCTAGGAAACGCAGGGTGAGGCCAGGACCCCATTCCCTGCCTCTCAGTCCATATTCTTTTGCCCTCAACAAATAGATGACACTAATTCAAGGAGAAGGAGGAGCAGGAAGGGAGCTTAGAGAGGACCTCTGGGCCTCAGATGAGCCCCTGCCCTGATGGCATCCCTGCCTCCTCCTCTAGCCTGGCTGTTGAGGAGACGGCTCCAGAGTCCAGGGGAACTCCAGCTTCCCACAGCCTCTGAGCACTGGGGCTGCTGGGGCCTTTCTTCCTGGGGGGATGGAGCCCCGTCCAACAGAAGAGGGAATGTCCTTGCAGAATGTCCCAGCTGGATGGGGGTATCAGAGGCAGCTCTCCTGGGTGTCTGCATTGACTGTAAGTGAGTCCTGTTCACACAGCTCCCGGGATGCCTCACAGGATCTCTCAGGCTTGTCCTCAGCCTCAGCAGGGAAGTAGGTCCTGAGGCAGGTCCTCACCGACTCCTTCACCTCAGTCTCCAGGCCCTTCATCCTGGCCTCGTACTCTGCCAGCACCTCCTGCTGCAACTGTGGGGACAGCAAGCACCACCAGCTGGCTCAGGAGGGGCCACCTGCCCACTCTCCCGCCCTTGGACAATGGAACAAGGAGATACCCAGTCTTTGCCAAGCTCCCAGGAGATGGAGGTAGGAAGTGGACATAGTGGAGCCCATCAGGGAGCCTCTCGGGAGAGGGGGTGCCAAACAAGCAAAGAGACCTGCAGAGCTGCCTCATGCAAAAGGGCTCTAGGGCCCCAATGGAACCCACTGGCGAGGGGTGAGTCCCCGCCTCCTGAACTCCTGACTGGACGCTCCTGGAGCGGGCCCCTTTACACCCTGGGGCCGGGCCAACTCTGTTGGGGGCCAGGGTGGCGGTTCCGTCACCTGCTTTTCCAGCTCCCGGATCTGCTCCAGGCAGGCCGCCTGCTTCTCCTCCAGCTTCTCCTGGTGCCTCTCCAGGCTCTCTGTCATCTGATGGGAGTGAGAGGCAGGAATCAGGGCAGCTCAGACAGGCCATCTGGCTTGGCAGCCAGCTGTGATCCCAGTTAACCAGCCATAAAACTTAGGGCAAAGTCCTTTGTCTTTTTAATTTGTAAAATGGGGATAATAGTACCTGTCTCGCTGGATTATGAAGGTTTACATGACACGGTTCATGTGAAGCACCTGGTTTAGTGTCTGGCATAAGGGCAGGACTCGGTAGCTGGTAGTTCTGCTACTTTTGCTAATCCCCAGGCGAGCTTTCGGTCCATTTCCAGCAGGCGTTTCCTTTCTCTTCGGACTCCTTCTCGCTCCCTCTCACCCACCCACCCCAATTCCATCCTCCCTGGCCAGCTGGCTCATATCTTTTCCATACAGGGCAGCTGACAGAAGCCTGTAGGCTAGTACCCCAATCTCCACAGAAAGACCAGAACCTCAGGCTGGCCTAGGGAGTCCCCTCCCCCTGCACTGCCACTGCCTCCTGCCTTCCCTAGCTGCATGGGCCACTCTGGACAGTATATCTCCTAAGGGCAAAGTAAGACCCATTTTCTCTCTGAGGGAGAGCGTGTGTGTGTGTGTGTGTGTGTGTGTGTGTGTGAGAAGGACACAGTGTTACACACCTGGTTGATGACCTGTACCACCTCCTGGATGTGGGAGTTGTTAATCTCTTTCTTCAACCTGTTGGGGTGATCAGAGTTTCACAGAGGGCAGGAGGCCCCTGGGAAGAGCTGGGTGAGATGCAGACTCCTCAGGGTATAGACCAAATAAGGACTATGCAGTAGGGGCAGGAAGCACCCAGAGGGGTGACATGGGGATCCAAGGAGGATTTGAGGGTCCATTGGAAGTCCTGGGGGACCCTCTGAAGGAACGTGCACTGTCCTTCAAGGTGTGCCAAGGTTTCACCTCCCTCCTGATTTTCCCTTAAATTCTCCTCTCTGATCAAACAGTGTTGGCACCTGTGTTTTGCCTAAGGAGGTCACTCTAATCGGAGGTGACAGAAGTAAGATTAACTTTCAAGAGCCAGGGGACAGGCACATGGCTAGGAAGCGAGTCAGGATCCTCGGTAGGGAGGCCCCTTTCCCCCCTGGAGTGGCTCCTGCTCAGCACTGGGCCTGGTGCTGGAGTCCTGGGCCTCTCTTCCCGGGCTCACCGCTCCTGGGCCATCTTGTCAGCGGTGACCTTCACCATGGCCTGGATCCGTTCCAGCCTCTTGGCCTCCAGCTTCTTCTTCATCTCTTTGGTGTCGCTGTAGAGAGACAGGCATCAGGGAGATGTTGGGGTGGGGGCTGAGCCAGATGTTTTGTGGGGCCTGAGCCCTCCTGGGAGTTGAGAGTCAGGCTTGGGAGGGAGGCAGTCATACCTCTCTGAGGTCTCCTTGAGCGTCTTAAGCTCTGCGGCCTGTTTCTCTCTGGCCAGCTCCATCATCTTGGCGATGTGCTGCAGGGAGAGGAAGGATGGGTTTAGCAAACTGGCTTCGCGGGGAGCCCTCCGTCGTGCAGAGGGTGTGGGTTTGGTCGGGTTGTAGCTCTCTCCCCTCCCCCGCCCTGGCACCTCGGCCAAGTGCTGCTCCTTGCGCTTCAGGACGCACTCGCACTGCTCCTCGCGCTGCTGCCGCAGCTCCAGCTCCAGCCGGTCCCTG